GTGACGGACTGCAGAAAGTAACGTCGATAATGGATTCTCGGCCATCTCTGCGAAAAGTGCTGCTGGTGCCTTTATTGGCCAGCATAACTTCCAGTTTTGCCAGAGCTTCCAGCAGACTGTGCCCTCTTGCATTGGAACACCTGCTTCCCCACTCCACTGCCCAAGCATTGAAGTCTCCTCCGATGACTACCGGTCGTCGTCCGACCAGCTCTTCGGTAAGTCCATCAAGCATCTCGTGGAACTTCTCCATCGTCCATCTGGGGGGTGCGTAACAACTACACATGAAGATTCCGTTGATTTTGGCGATGACGAAGCCTTCGTATGAGCTCGCAACCACTTCTTGAATGGGGTATCTGCCCATAACTTGTATAGCTGCCATCCCAGCTCTATCCGCAACCCAGTTACCGTTATCGGGAGGGACTCGATACGGTTCCGCAATGATTGCAACGTCGCACTTTGTTTCTGTTGTCGACTGCCACAACAGTTGCTGAGCAATGTCGCAATGATTGAGGTTTATTTGGGTTACCTCCATTACTGTTGGCCTGCCATCGCCTTTTTGTATGCTAGGCATTTGAAGCCTCCCGTCGTATGATCGTTACCGTCCTCTTTTTTGCAGAGCATACACCTCGGATGCTTCGTGCAGCCTCTTGCAATATGGCCTTTCTCTCCGCATTTCCTGCACAGATCAGATCTGTCAGGGCCATTGCAGTTCCTCGCCTGGTGACCGAATCCCATGCACTTGAAGCATCGCTCCAATTGCTTGGTAACCCGAGGAGTGGCTTTCAGCGAGCACAATGACCAGCCAACCTTGACCTTGCCCGTCTCCAACAGCTTATTCGCTGCAGCTGTCGAAAGCCGTATAACCGCCGTTTGCATGCCGCCGTACGCCTTCCTCATGCGGATTGACATCGGGACATCTCCCAGATCGCAGTGCACTCTCAACGCACTTCTTAGCTCCTCTTCTGTGGTGATCTCGTCCAGGTTCCTGCACTCGACCACTGTCTCCTGGGATAGAGCTCTTACGCTCGCCCCTTCGCCAAGAGACTTTTCGACGAGCTCCTTGAAGGCTGAGCTCTTGATAGCAGGATCCTTCTTCAGCTCAAAGAGGATCTCGCCTTTCTGGGTTCGCCTGGTTTTCACCACGTTCTCTCCTAGTTGCTTCAACTCCGGATCCTCTCGTACCTTCCGGAGGAGTGCTGCATACGACGTTTTGTCCTTAGCTTCGACGATCAGAGCATCGCCCTTACTTCGCTCCCGACGAGTCCTGGGTATCTCCTTCTTCTGTTCAGCTTTCTTCTTCATGTCTTTTTCCTTCCGTTTTTTCCACTTCTCCTTTGGCTTCTCGACGGTACGCCAGCCTTCCTCCTTGTTGTCTTCTTTGTCGTTCTTGACTTTTTTCAACTCCTCTTCCTCTCCTGGAGTTTCCCTTTTCCTCTTCTCCGAGCGTGGATTTCGAGGTCCCTTTGGCGTCTCCTGTATTTCAGCTGCTGCTTTCTCCTTGGATGTGTGTATGTGTGTATGTGTGTATGTGTGTATGTGTGTGTGTATGTAACGAAATGAATGCGCTCACGTTTCTCAGCAACCGCTCAACCGATTTGGACAAACTCGGCGCCAAATGATAGGTCTTGGGATCCCATTGAACGCTATTGAACGGTTTTGGAATCGGTGAACCCGTTCCGGAGATATGCCCGGAATAAGATCCGGTGAATATGGGCCTTCACGCTGAATTTAACGGAAAACGTATTAAAACCATCATGCGACACATCAAATTACTACAGAATTCAAAAATAAGATCAATGCAAGTCGTGTTAAGTGTTCCAGACCACATTGGACACACTTGGACATGTTCCGGGTACCCCGGGGAAGTTGCTTGAATATGAATTGAATTAAAACCCATTAAATCACATTAAAATACGATTATAAGGTGATTGGTAGCCTCACCAAATAGACTTCACCCGGATATATTCCGGGTACCCCCAGGTAGTGGCGTAGCGTCACTGGATGACACGGGGGTGGGGGGCTTGGTCACTGATAATGACAATAAAATAAATAAACTTGAATAAGTAAGAAGGGTCTGATCACACCATAGGTGGATAAATTCGGGTTTTTTTTATGATTTTAAATAAAAAAAAACAAGTAATTCATTCTCAGATATGGTAACTGTCATACTTACCCGTTTCTATTTCGATGCAATAATGTGAGCAATTTTTCATTCAAATCGGAAGGGGTCGGGACAAAATTTACATATTTTTTAGTGTTTTGGGCTGGAAATGTTAAAAATTTGTTACATACATACATACATGTCGTTGCATGGCATTCGAACCATGTACCTTCCGATCTCCAGCCGCTTTTTTTGCTATCTAAGCTATCCTGGAATACTCCATAGCAATATCTCCTTCAAGGTCCAGTGGAAATGATTAATTCATTCTTCGTTGTTTTACATTAGACTACTTTTATCACTTCATCGCTCCAATTTCCAAGAAAAGAATGCTGGGCTATTTTTTAAACTAGATCAGTGAATTCATTGTCGTGAGTGATGTGATAGATGATTACGATTTAAATGAAGAACGCAAATAAAAAAAAAGGATGAGCCTTGGATTGAACTATCGACCTTCTACTTGAAAAGCGGAAATGGTAACCACTATTATACTGATTTGGTCTTTTTGTTAGGATGAACCTGTGTTGTGGAATAATTCATCTAGTTCGTCGTTTATAAAGCATTTACAAAGCATGCGATTACAATGGACGCAAAGTGATTTATAAAGCTTTTAATGAGTAAATTAATCAGATGAGCTTTTTTCAGCACATAATTCGCCATGCCTTTTTATTCAGCATTGCACACTATTATACAGAATTTAGGGGAAATGGCTCTATTGATGGCCTATGGATCTAAGATTGGGCCCATCGCTAAAAATCTGCTATTTATCAATTGTATCTAGATGAACGCGTCATTGGGATGGTACTAGTGGATATTTTTGGTCGCTATTGAAAATTTAGTCGAGTGCTGAATTTACATATGTATGGGCCCAAATTAGGGGCATTTAGGCCGACATTACATCCATTTCCTCTATATGTGGTTATAAGTGACTCTGAATTGTTTGATGGGTATACGTCACTCCGATTAAAAAAATACCCATATTGTAGAGTATTTGACAGTATTTCCTACTCTTTCTGAAACCGGACGCTGCCATCTTGGATTGTTAAATGCCAAACAACGGAACAAAAAAAAATTCGGTCTCTATACGGCACCTTGATTCCAAATATTGAAGGGTATTTGACATCTGGATTTTATCTTGGATTTTATAATTGCGTCGGCATTGGTATCCGGTCTCTTGACGTTACTCCTATTCCAAAAATACCCATATTGAAGGGTGTTTGACAGAATATCCCACTTTTCTGAAGTCACCATTTTGGATTTTAAAATTGCATCGAACATCGATATCCGGTCTCTAGACGTCATTTCGATTCCGAAAATATTCATATGGAAGGGTATTTGACAGTATTTCCACTTGTTCTGAAACCAAGCCGCTATTTTGGCGTCAGACATAAATTTTCGGTCTCTAGGCGTCACTCTGATTCTTAAAATGTACATATTGAAAGATATTTGAGTATTTCTCACCTTTTTCTGAAACCCAAAGCAGCTATTTAAGATTTTAAAATGGCGTCGGAGAACGGTCTCTAGACGTCACTATTATTGCAAAAATATCCATATTAAAGGGTATTTGACAGTATTTCCCAGTTTTTCTGAAATCGGAACACGCTTAAATTTTTTCGCCGAGATTCCAACAGCCGAGTAGTTCTGCAATTTATTTTGCTGAGATTCGGTAAAACAATTGCCGAGAGTCAGCTAACACTAAAATTTTTTGCTGAGATCTCAGCTAACAAACATATATTTTGCAGAGATATCAGCAAAAGTAAATGCATAGGCTGTTGGAGATTTTACCGAGCTAGATTAGTTGTGACGCCAACAGGATTTAAAAATGGTATCAGATATCGATTTCCGGTATAAAAACATTATTCCGATTCCGAAAATACACATATTGAAGGGTATTCGACAGTATTTCCCACTTTTCTGAAAACGGAAGCCACCAGCTTTGATTTCAAAATGGCGTCGGTAATCTGCTGTCACTGAAAGCAAATTGAAAACTAAATTTGATGTACATTTTCCATTTTGATAACAAATCAAGTATTCAATTTTAAGCTCTACAAAGGCATTGACAACAAAACTGCAGCAACGTATACGTAGAGAGAGCAAAGGTACAGTAAACTGTAAACAAAATATGTTATCAAATAAGTCAATCGCGTGAACTGAAATCAAATCTAGATTGAGCTGGAATTAGGGCTTAACAGCCTTTGTAAACAATGATTTCTCTCGTTAATTTCTAGGAATTCAAGGCAGGCCTTCCCTTACTCACTGATTATGTCGATTTGCCAGGGACAGCCATGACTTTCGAAAATCATCGAGAGAAGTCATTGTTTACAAAAGCTGTTACGCCCTAATTTCCTGCTCTCTATAGAAATAATGATTTCAAATTGATGTTGACATTCGGTTGCATTGAATTGAATGATATGAAAATTAATAGCACTCGGTAACCGACACTTTTTACATCTTTAGCAAAGACTAAATTTAGATATTTTCGATAAATAGTGATTAAATAAGATACATAAATACTACTACTTCTCCCACTGTGCAGTAAGTCCATCCTGGCCAGGTGATGACGATGACGACGGCGATGATGATGTTCACACGCGTCCCTATATACGCAGCACCATTGCTGATCCCGACCGGCCGATGGTGGAGTAGGCAAAAGCGTATCGTGGACAACCAAATCAACCAAATACACATAAAATCGACGGCGTCTGCGAGGGAATCACGCAAATCGAACGGACTCGGCCGATGATGGGTAGCGTAAATTTCTAATTCTTCTTGTTGTTCCTTCAAATCACTTCTTCAACCATATCCGAGGGGACAAGCGCGCCGCGGTCGCGGATCGTGTCGTCTCACTCGCGTTTGGTTGTCCCAGCGCCAATTTAATAATGATTTGCACGAAATAAAGTTAGTCTCTTTGTTCATTCCACCGGATTAACAGCTCGTCCTCTCAGGTACGGAAGATAGTGAGGTCGTAAAAGTGGGTTGATGAAAATTTCGATAGAGTGAAGACTTATAAGGATATCTTTTGTGTGAAGAGTGGCCTAAAAATTGCTGAAATGTGACAACGATGGAATTGATGGACTTTTTGAAATGTGATTGGTGCATGCAAATTTATGGACTGTTTCAAAATTGTATGTTTTGGATATGTGATTGAATTATGAAGTATCAGTGCGCAGTGATAAGAATATGGAATTCTATCATTGGAGGATTTTAATCAAAGTGATACCATTTTAGAAGGATTATATAACCTTTTCCTACTGTGTTTTAAGTGTTAGTTACATAACTAGCCGATAAGAAAATGAACTGTTAATGATGAATTGAAAACACAGTGATGGTTCATAATGCAACGTTGATGAAATTATTATAAAAAAAAACTGCATGCAAGGTCCAGCTACTGAAGTCACGTATAATAACTAAAATTAAGGACCGCTATAATTTATCATAAACTGTTGCAATTCAGATGTTGAGAAAAAGATTATGAACCGCAAATAAATGTTTTATAAAATCCTGCTTGTGAAAATAGCTTAGTAATTTTGTTCAACATAAATTTCCGTTATATTAAAATTATTAAAAATTTGGTGTAGTCTGCTAAATGTTTTCAAATTTCGTATACACTGACCCTATAATTATGGATCAGTCAGTCTAGCGTGTCAATCAAATGGAAGTGGATCCATAACTGTGGGCAGCCCCATAACGTGGGTAGATCACCTTTTCGTGGTACGTTACGGGATGTAAGATCTACCACCGATTCCTAGTACTGGAACACATCTTAGCCCTTGTTACTTTCTATGCCTTGTTGATAGTGATCTTGAAACAAGGAAAAAATGAACTAGTTAGTCTTCATCTATGTGATTCCTAATCTTCTATTCGTTGTTCACTAGTTTGAAGTTGGTAAGGCTAGGGTTCTGATGTATGGTCATTATCGGTATCATTGCTTATTTTTGTTGCTAAGGAATCCAATTTTGACTGACAAAGGGGCGCGCCTTTGGAGGTTGTTTCAACTTCGAAGTGTGGGTATAAATAGTGGGACCTTTCAGTTAGAATCGGTTCCTTACGATGAAGGCAAGAGTGACAAGTGTATCAAAACCGAATATTTCATCATTTCTCAATAGTGATGAAGTAATACAACATGCACTAAACTAAGGACACGAGATATACTACAATACATCAAATTGCTGGTCGCAGTGGTGTTAGATCCCGAACAGAGGAAAAAAATAACTGTGGGCGATGCTTAATTGTGGGGTCAGTGTATATCGATCCTGCAGATCACTACAATTTCAATTAAATGCTTTTTAGGCCTTGAAATTTACAGAATCATTCATGATTAAAAAAAAACTCAAACGTACCTTCAGAACTTGAGTGCGGTAAAAATCGATAAAACTGTTTCAAACACATCGTCGGCACTTGAGCGAGTCGGTGATCATCTCTTTTTGCCAGTGGTAGTGGGAGGGAATACCCCTCATCATCCCTTTCCAACGGGGGAGTTTGGTAAAGAGAGATGATCAAACCGATTTGTACCTTCCTTAAAAGCTGTCCTTACTCGCTTTCTACTCTCTATATACAAGTTTCACACTGCCGTACTGTAACGGAACTATTAACTCTATACTTTCATCTCCTAATCTATCGTATAAAAAATACCATTTTAGTCTGTTATTTGGAATTAGCATCTTCAACTATGTAAATTACTGACTTCACGCAGAAGTAATACAAAACATATAGTCAAAGTATTATATTTAGATTTATTAAGCAGTCAACGACAGTCGGATGGTTACATGTCACTGAATAGTTTAGAGAATATTTCGCGACCTTTTTCTTACAATTAAAAAGCATGTTTTAATCCATTTCTACACAAATATTTTATTATAACTTTATGGCCTTTTGTGTGACTGTAATATAAAACCATTGTAAAGCAAACAGTTATTTTTCTAATATAGTTTTGAGAGAGATCTTGAGAAACCTATTTATTCTCCATTAAATTTGTCTTAAAGCAAAAAAGGTTTAAAGACTTAAAGTGGTCATGTTATACGATAGATGAGGATATGAAAGTATAGTGTTGATAATTCCGTTAGAGTACGGCAGTGTGAAAATTATATACAGAGAGTACAAAGCGAGCAAGGATAACTTTGAGGGAGGTACGAATCGGGTTGATCAACTTTCTTTACCAAATCCCCAGTTGAAGAGTGATAGTGAGGCGATGGCAGTAAGCGGTTGAAATCATTCACTACACTTGCATCCTGGATATTTTGTAATTGCTGAAGTCAATGCTTTTTTCACAGGAGGAGGAGGAGGAAGGGTTTGATTTTCGTCTGCTACTGTTTCCGACGCTGATTCCATTTTTCGAAGTTCCTCTTCCGCTGCTGGATGGGTATCGCCGTTTCTTGACGCAATCGATGCGATTCCAGTTTTCAGCGGTTTTAATATGAGAAGGGATGCCTTCTATATTTGTATGCAAGCATTTATTGAAGTGTATGGCCTTAAGTTTAGTGAAATTAAACACCACTTTTTTAATTGTATCTAAAAATATTCTCCAATTCCAATATTTATGAGGCTCGTATTTTATAAGGCCCTACAGAGTCAAACATTTACCAACAAATGTGATTCGCAGTTAAATGTTGTCACATGTAACATTTAAAAATGCAGTTTTCTAAATTACAAATGGAAGAAACGATTTATCTCATAATTCCAGCAACAATCAAACTAGCAAATTATCAACATTCCGTTTTTTGCTGGCTTTTCTTAAGATTAAAATAGCTTCGAAACAGTTTCAAAACGGTTGTAGAAGGCACATCAAGAAATGCAAATGCTCTTATAGTAGGTTTAAACTGACGTTCTGGCAGCATTCTATAGTGTGGACTCTTCTGGCTCTTATGCATTTTATGCTGGTTGAAAAGAAGCAATGATAGTACAAATATTCAGTCCGCATCATGCCGGATCTTTTTTCTTTTTGCTGAAGGAAGTGATACTACTACCTAAAACTATTATTCCTCTTTGATTCCGAGGTAATCCTGCTTGGCCATCTACTTGGAAAATTCCTCTTCAATCCTACGAATTCTTATAGTAATCTGGCGCCTAAGCACAAAAGAAAAGGATAATCGCTTGATCCCCCTTCTGATGAAATTCAATTGAGCAATCAATTTGATATGCTCACGGATGATGTGAATGATTCATCATCCAGACAAAATTCCCGGCTTAATGCCAAAAAGGAAAAGGTTCCCCCTATTGTTGTAACCACTGCAGATTTCCATGCTCTTCGCAAGCTACTTTTGTTTTCACTTCAAATTGGCCGTTGGGGTGAACTCCGTGTATTGTCTGAAACCTTGGATGGAACAAACGTCTTCTCAAGTACCTTACTGAGAAGCAGCACACATTTTTTACTTATGACAGCAACACTGAACGTCTGTTCAAAGTTGCCGTGAAAGTTTTGCCCAGTGGTTAATCCATGGATCAAATCAAAGATGAATTGACTAAATTACTTGGAGTTAGGCCTGTCCAAGTAATCAAAATGAAAATGAAATCCCGTCCTGGTGATTCACGCAACGAGATTTCCAACCAGTTTTATTTAGTTCACTTCAAGTCTAGTGAACTAAACAACCTTAAGGTCTTAGGAAATTTACAAAAACTCACCCAGTACCGTAAGTGCCAGGAATGGGGTCACGGAACCAAAAATTGCTACATACCAACTAAATGCATGAATGGTGGTGATTCCTCTCACGCTAAGGATGGCTGTCCTGTGAAGAAAGATCCTTAAAAAATTAAATGTTCAAATTGTGGTGAAAACCACAAATCAAATTTTTGGGCATGTAAGACTCGCAAAGCGATCCTACAATCTCGTTCTAAGCGACAGGTAAGGAATGCTCCACTTTCACGACCAGGTCCTAATTTATCTGCTGTTAACAATGGTCAGCGAGTGACAAATTGTACATTCGAACCCGCTCACAAGCTTCAAATTCTGCATCTATACCTCTTTCTAACAATGTTCAGCAAGAATATGGAGCTACCTATTTTGAACGGAAATTGTAATGATTTTGACTTAGGTAGCATTACTGCTACTAAAATGGAGTTTTTACAGAAATCATTAATGCTGAAAACTAACTCTAACTAACTGAAGTAAAATCTTTGAAAATAATTCTGAATAGAATGATGCTTCACATCAATACGAACTTAATTTTTGCAGTTGAACAGTTTGGACTTCGCTATGGGCATTCAACTACTCAGCAACTCTTAAGAGTTACAAAAGTCATTCGTTCAAACAAATCTGAATCACCCCAGTAGGCCTGGGTTCAATCCCAGTTGGCGCCACCGGGATGTTCTGAGGCATAACATCTCTGATCACGCCTTCCTTCGCAAGGAAAGTAAAGCCGTTGGTCCCCGGTTCATGAGTTGATGGGTCGATAGGTAGGGTCCAGGTGTGGGAGCTGCTTCCCTGGCGTCGATAGCATTGGTGCTCCAGGTGTAGGAGCTGCCTCCCTGGCGTCGGCAGCATTGGTGCTCAGCACGGAAAACAAATCAAGGAAAAAAAGTTCTACAGGTAAATTATCAAAATTCCAAATCTGAACGACTACCTGTTAGAGTTGGAGTTCCTCAGGGTAGGTTTTTGTTTGTTTGTTTGTTTATTAAGGACATTTTACATCTCCGCGATGCATTCATGTCCGTACGGTATGTATCAGGGTAGGGTTCTTGGGCCTATATTGTGTAACGGTTTTACCTCGGACCTCCCTGATTTGCACCAGGGTTTCCACATATGTTTGTTCGCTGATGACACAGGCATTTCCGCTAAAGGAAAAAGTCTTCGTGGTATTTGCAGCAGACTGCAGAAAAATTTAGATATTATCTCTTCTTATTTACAAAAATGGAATGTTTCGCTCAAAGCTTTCAAAACTCAACTTACAATATTGCCACATAAGCCTACGCACTTAGAAATAACTATTTTTTTGCGTCCGAATCCGTCTTT